TCCGTGCTGCATAAGGCTGCAGCAGTATGCTAAACCACGTTTCCTGTTTACACGTGGCAATTAACTCGTCGGAAAGAATCATCTTACTTGTGTAATACAATTGCTGTGCATTCCGAATTGTCTAGCCTCCCCTCAACACTTGCACAAAAATCAGTGACCCCCCCCCCCAAAAAAAAACACCGACCTACCCCTCCACCGACCTACCCCGCTGTCCAGTCCCTTACGGCTTGCATAATCCTTCCTATGTCCAATTTGTATGACAATGCCATGACTGCGATCCGTGCTGCATAAGGCTGCAGCAGTATACTAAACTACGTTTCCTGTTTACACGTGGCAATTACCCGTCGGAAAGAATCATCTTACTTGTGTAATTGTCTAGAAACCTCTACGTGGTGAATCGCGGTACACTATATCAGGTATTGGAGCTTTAAGTCAAAGCCTAGTCTGCTGTAATAATACTACCTTCGCGTCGTGGCTTGCACATACATCCCATCGTGTAAGGGTTTGGATCAACGTATGTTTAATCTTAGTTAGGAACTGTAAAAAATAAACTCAATGTTATTCAATGATAACATTTCCATTGACAAACTTTATATGACGCTTAAAGTAAAGTAATTTCCTCTGGGGATCAGCCCCTGGTAAATTAGTATATAATGTTAGTATTTCTTTTTTCGGGGGGGGGGGGTTGTACGATCGCTACTGGAACAAAGACATGGTAGATTAGTAATTGTACAATGCACATGGTGTGTTGAAGGTGTTGTTTTCCTGGGTAAAGTGTTCCCCCAATGGTGGCTTAATTTACATGTACATGTTACTATTGTGTGGAGGCACTTCATGATTCTCACGCAACGACATTTACATAACAAATTCAAGCGCTATCGACCTGGAGTAACCTGTAACCCGAACCTACTGTGTTTTGTACCTTTCAAATCTAGTTCCCGATACTGAGAAAAAAACAACAACAATACCACGAACATACGTATGAGTACTACGCACATACTCTGTATGTGCAAAATAGCGTTGTATATTTTAAAGGTAAAAAGGGCGCACATTACATAACTATTTGAATACAAAAAGTATGAACACATCGTGCGACAAGAAAAATTACCCTCGTCTTTACCAGGCAGTGACACTACAATTTGCACACAATGTGTAATAACACTAACACTACTACACTATTCTTAGTATTTGGGTTCATTTTAAAGGTAACATTAAGGAACTACTTAAATACCTCGCGTATGAATACATCCAATCGGTGTGTGTGAATAGTATGATTACGTGGTCTTGACGAGAAAGTGCCGCTAAAATTCGCTATAACGTCATATACTGGATTTTTTGTGTGGTCTGATCATTAATACATAATTATTTACAAATCATGGTATATCCGTCACCTGCCGGTTGGAACCCAGCGATGGGCGGTGGTAGCTGTGGCGCTTACCCTACACCGGGGGAGGCCCTTCCGCAGATGTGCTACCCTCAATCAGCGGCGACCAAGCCGACATTAAACCCTGTGAGTATAACGTAATTATGAACATCTACCATTATCGTTACCAGCCTGTGCACATATCGCTCATGTGCATGTGTATGATGTGTTATTGTATTTAGATCAAGTCCTTTGAATGACGCTACAGTTGCGCCCGAGGGCTACTCCCTGAAATTTACCTTACTCTGATGTGCCGCCTTTTGGGGTGTTTTTTTCAGTCATATGGTCTTAAATGGGATCCACAAAATTTAGGGATTTGGTCTAAAATGGGGTCCACAATGTCAAACACCATTTTAAGTTTTTTTGTGCATTTCGTGTTTTTTCCCGGATTTCCCAAATGTTTTTGATAAACATATCTATAGTTTTGATGGGATGCATGCATACTTTTATGATTTGATACAAAGTACATGTATTTATTAAGATAATTTCGGTCTACTTTTAATATGTCAAGACCAAAATACGGTCTGCTGGATAAATGGCGGGTCTAAAATGGGATCTACCAGACAACATGGGGTATGGGGTATACATTTTTGGTGTCAATTTGGTCTAAAATGGACTCTGGGTTTCGCAGTGTGGGCTACACACGTATACCATATCCGCAGTCCCTCCTTAGACTGTCCCATATCATAGGTTTTTACAATGCATGGATCTTAGTTAAAAGGCTAGG